AAAAAAAAAAAAAAAAAAAAAGGCCTGGAGCTCACTGTAGAGTACCATGCGAGTCTGTATCCAGAGGTCAAAGGGTCTGTGCTAGAAGGCTGATGAGTCTGTGCTGAAAGCCAGGAGATGATGATGTACAAGGTGAAGGTGAAAACTGGAGCTCCTTTGAAGAAACAGAAGCAATGCTTCCTTCTTCATTTCCCTTTTATTCCATTGTGTCAAGCCTATTAGTAGGTCTTCTGTCTTTAGTAATTCCCCTCAGCCACACCCAGAACTATGCCTATCCAACTGAGCTGGGTATTTCTTACTCAAGTTGACACCGTCAGTTAACTCTGACAATACCAGACCTGGAGTACTCAGGTGACATGTGGTTTCCATCCTTGGTGACATTTGCCTTCTTTGGCATCTAGTACCAAGGGCAGCAGGACAGTAACACTTCAAATTGCCAGTAGTCTTAACTAGTATAGAACTTAACTTTAGCTTATTTCTCTATTCAGGGATTTTCTCTTTTCCAGATATTGTCAACACAATTCAGTCACTTAACATGCATTTATTAAGCACCTATTATGTTCCAAGAAGTGAAGAAAGGAGAGTAAGCTAGAAAGACAGAACTGATAGACTAGAAGGGAAGATACAATAACAAGAAAGTATAAAAGATAAAAGCATAAGATTCAGTGAAATGCACAAAAAAATATAAGTATTGGAAAAAAATACAGCGATCTGTTGAAGCAGGTCATGAGTGGTGGGACTTCAGTTAATTCTTTCAAATTAAATATCCAATTTCAAGGTCCTTTCCAACTTTAATGAGCAAAATTATGTTCACAAACAGAAATTTTTAAAACTACATTTTAATCTGTTTTGAGAGGTTTTTCTTTTTCATTTATTAATATCTAAAATTTTCATACTAATTTGGTCATAAAGTAGCATTTTTCAGACACTGACTCTAATCCCATTCCACCTAATTAAGCTCTCGCTTCAATTACACCACCATTAGATAAATACCCTTTGAATTTAGAAAGGTGTCCAGCAGCCCTCACCTCCACATTGCCACTCCAGGAAGTGCCATCTGACGTTTCCTTCCCTAATTTCATGAACATCTACTAAAGAACGTGAACTTTTAATCACATAAAATTTTAGAATTTACCCTTTGATTCAGCAGCTCCAATGTAAAATAAATAAATAAATAAATAAACAAACAAACAAACTATATTCATTTCTATAAATCAGTAGGATTAGTCAATGATAGCAAGATAGAAGACCATGGTTATTTCCAAATACCAAGGTGATTTGGAAGAAAGCCAGCCTGAAAGAGCAACCAGTATCAATACAGATGCTCCATTGTTGAGGTCTATTTGATAGGCTTCTCCCCTAGTCTGAAGGTTAAAGTCCATGGTCTCCATTTCTTTGTAGTCCTAAAAGCAAATTAAGAATAACTTCTTCAAGTGTTATATACATTTTTCTAATAATAAAAGTAGTAACACACATATGGTAGAGAGAACTTAGAAAAGATTGGTAAAAGCTATAGAAGAAAATAGCTTCCCACATAAATTCCACAACTGAAAAGATGAAAGTTGTCTACATTCACCTTGAAGTCTCTGTGTACTATATGCTTGGAATCTTTCATTATATTTTTTCCAAATGTTTTCATGGTTTTTTAATACTCTAATGAGAAGATATATAGCTTAACTAGTCTCTTATTTTTCTATGTTTACATGAATTTTATTTTGTACTATTGTGCTATAATGAGTGTCTTTTTTAAATAACTTATACAGATACCAAAAGGACTCATAATTATAAATCAAAACCAATTCTAAAATTTGAAGACATTTAACACATTTTATAGGTTATGAATCACAAATTATCTTTGTGCTTTTTTTACATGACCAACTAAATAACAAATATATTTATGATTTTATTTCTACATGACAAACTAAATAATACCTGGATTTCTTGTATGGCAACATCTTATGGTATTTATTTTCTAATATATTTAATATCCTGCACAAATTCTTAAAGGAAACCTGAAAGCTTTCACCTCTTTACTAGAATGTGTATTAGTTATCTTTGCTGCATAACAAGTCACCTCAGCCCCGAGCTTAAAACAATGAAAATCTCACTCTGTCTGTATGGGTCAGATATCCAGGTGTTGCTCAGTTGAGCTGTTAGTGGAGCTGCAGTCGTCTCATGGTCCAGGAGCTGGACTGTTGGCAGGCTGTGGCTCCTCACTGGCAGTTGACCAGAGGCCCATTTCTCATTTTTATGGGTCTCTCTGGAGAACTGCTCATAATATGGCAGCCACTTCCTCTAGTGTGAGAGATAAAAAGGAGACAGAAAGTGAAAGGACGTCAGAAACAGAAAAAAAGGTTAGTTTTTTGTAACTTAATCATGTCATCACTTTGAGCATATTCTATTAATCACCGGGACCAGCTTTGGTATAATGTGAGAGGGGACTACACAAGAGTAAAAACACCAAGAGAAAGGACTTAGATATTATATTAAAACTATAAAATCTGGAGACTATCACATATAGTAACTTTCATGAAGATCCAAAATATGTATTTAATAATCTGTCAAAAAGTTCTTCAGAAATTGGCTCAGTGGTAGAGGACTTACTTGCCTAGCACAGGTGAGATCCTGGATTCAATCCTCGGGGCCTAAAAATAAAAAACAAAACAAAAAAATCCTTCAAGTATTGTCACTTAGAAAAGAGCTTACCATAACCTAATAAATGTGGATATTCATATAGGTTACAAAAGAGGGTTCTACTGCCAGTCTTAACTTCCTAAGACTCTTCCGGTCTTTCACACAAGCACCAAAGCATATATACAATAATGTTCTCCACAGCAGTGTTTGTATTAGTAAAAATAAACAAACAAATGAACAGTCCAGGTCCCCATTAAGAGAAAAAAAACAAATAAATCCTGTGGTGTTGATAAAATGAAATGCCATATAGCAGTGACACTGAATGAACGCACATCAATCCAGCTGCATCCGTTAAGTGCAAAGAGCAAGTCACAGAAGACATATATATGTATGTATGTTTCTATTACAATTCCATTAACATAATATTCATAAAAGATAAAACTAAAGGGGCCAGGGATCTAGCTCAGTGGTTCCGCCGCCTGCCTCACAAGCGCAAGGTCCCGAGTTCGATCCCCAGTACCCCCCCCAAAAATTAAAAAGTAAATAGCATACTGTTTAGTGATACATTTACTAGAACTAAAATTATGAAGTTAAGTAAATGTCTGATGATCACATTTACTAGAACTAAAATTATGAAGTTAAGTAAATGTCTGATGATCCAAAGGTGGAGAGAATACTAACTCCCTAAGGAGAGAGTACTAAAGAGAGCATGCAGGGACCTCAAAGGAACTGGCAACCTTGTATTTTTTAACTTGGGATGAGGTTTGTCTTATTATATTTATTTTGATTTGTTTATTTACTGGTGCTGGGTATTAAACCTAGAGCCTCTCACATGCTAGGTATCTGCTCTACCACTAAGCTACACCCCAACTATCTCATTATTTTAAATCTGGATATTTAAAACTCTTTGTAGGTACAATACATTTTACAATAAAGTATATGAAAAATCACAACATGTAGCAAAAATATTTCAATATTACTTCCATCACAAAAACAGTAATCAATATACATAAGCACTTTTATTGTAGGTACTGTGTGATAAGTATGTTGGATAATTTTTTTATTTAATTCTCAAAACAGGTGGAAGGTAAAAACTATTCTCTCTTTTCTTCAATTGACAGATGATAAATTTTAAACTAAGGAATGAAAATATTTGTCCAAAGTCAAGCAGTCAGCATGTCGTGGCACTGGGATTTGAGCCCAGGGAGCACAGTTCTGGAAGTGGCCATTCTAATTGCTAAGCTAAACCTACAGCTTCTCCCCAGATTTAGCTCCAGGTGACAAAGTGAAATACTCAACTCCTGAAGTGTTGGTGTGATGCCCAAAGTGGATAAAGTAGGCCTTACATAGGTGAATGGGCCAACTCTCACAGGCTTGTGAAGCTCCTCCATCTTTCCACATGATTCTCTGAGGATAAAATGCTCCTTGCCTTTCTACCAGGAGCCCAGGAACCTCTCAGAATAATAAAGCATGTTTATAAAGCACCTATCATAAGTCAGGCATGTTAACTCATTTGATCTACATAATCACTGCCTGCTCTGAATGAGACAGAGGTACCTATCTCACAGGTGAGAGAAGAGGTTCTGAGAAAACTACTTCCAAAGCTTACACTTCCGACAGGAGGAATAAGCAGCAGCATTTAAACCCAGGCATGTCACTTCAGAGCCTATGATCACAGAGACTTATGTTGCCTGCCATAAAGCACAATCCTTAGAGAAAGGGTAGAATAAAAAAGTCTCCTTTTCTAATAAAATATTGTATTAAATATAGGTACTATCAAATACAATGCTTTAAAGGATTTCCATTCTCAGACATTATATTGTTAGGAAATGGAATACATGTGCTAGGAGAAAATATGGTGGCTTCATCCTGGGGAAGATAAGAACAACATAATTGAACTTGAGTTTTTAATTTAAGTTTCTTACAAGTTCACTGCCTTTATTATCTTAAGCTAACAGGAGTTGAGTCACTTGATTCACAAGTGTTTTAAGCCTTTTTAGGAGAACTGTTACTTGCATATTGGTGAAAATGTGTAGGGTTCCCATTATATATGAGGTCTTAACAAGATATCAGGCTGAAAAAGATAAATTCACTGCCCATGGGGAGTCCACAACCTAGTGATAGAGAAATACAATAAAATGAATGCCACAGGTCATGTTAAAATGTAAACCAGACCTTCCTAATGTAACTTATACTCCCTTAAAAAAAAAGATGACTTTTGAACTGGGCCATGTAAGGCAAGTGTACACTCACAGAATGGAATTAGAAAGGATAGGCATTCCTGGTAGAGGGCACAAAAGAGTCAAGATGCATAAAAGAGTATCATGTGTGTTTGTTTGCTCCTAGAGTATGAAAATTGTTTAAAGGGCATAGTAAGAAATGACCCTAGAGAAACAAGCTGGGGAGAGATGAAAGTTTTTGCCTGATTCCATAGTAACACTAGAGGGCACAGGAAGTTTTAAGAGGCCAGCCAGAAGTTTATTTCAATAGTTTAGTCAAACCATACCAAGGGTCTGAATTAGGCTATCTTATAAAATGAGTTGTATTTAAGACTCATTTACAGATGAGAATATCATTTTACAGGGGAGTAAAGCAACATGTCCAGTGCCGCACAACTGATCAACCAGAGCTCAGCCAGGCTGAATGATGATCATGGCAGGTCAAACAGCCAAGAGCAGAGCAGCTGAGAGTCTTTAGCTTGAGCTATTGAGTAGAGGGCATTCCCACTGATCACCACACGGTCAAGAGGAGAAGCAGTCCATGTAGAAAATCAAGAAGTTCAGTTCCAGACATATAGACAGAGTTCTTTGGGTGCCAGGCTAGCATGCCAGGCAGCTGCCAAGGTTGTACTCAGGAGAGGTGTGGCTGGAGAAGAATAACCTGGACAGAAAATATCATTGCTAAACAGACCTCCTTCCACCCATGCCCCTCATCCTAAAGATGAAGAACCTAAGGCTGAGAGGCAACTTGGAAGACAGCTTTAGAGATAAACCCATCTTCAAATGCTCAGCCTACCTACAAGTTCCTTTCCAAGTCAGGTTTATTTTTTCCATTATAAAGCAGAAACTGTAACCCTTCATTTACTATTTTTTGAAAAGATGAAAATGAATATCTATCTAAAGCACCTAGTACATTGCTTTCCAAAAGTAAGTACTCAATGAATGGTAATAATGATTCTTATCACTATCATCACTTAAGGGAATTGTTGAAGGTGAGGCTAGAGTGTGGGCAACACTCCAAACTCCTGCCCCAATTACTGTCTTAGCAATTGTTTCCCATAACATTCTCTACCCTACATAAAATTTTCACCAATTTTTCAATCCAAGAAAAGATGCTCCTTTTGAGGAATATAAATTAGCTTGTAAAAAATTAGCTAAAAGAATAATAGAGAAATCATATAAAAACTATATATAAGTAGATATTATAAAATACTTTGATAAAATGCATCAACTGGAAATAAATTGTGTGTCACATCTTCCTGAAGCCTTAAATATCCAAGGCAAATCTTTGGTGTGACTCATTTCATCTAAAGAAGAATCAGGGCAGGAGGATGATAAACAGTATTTCCTTGGCCAGGACCATCTTGCTCAGGGTTTTCAACTGTAAAAGTGTCTGTGTTTCCAAAGGGCACATTCCCCTTAGCAGGTCAGACTTTTGGGAATCACAGAAAATGTTGAGATCTAAAATCCCAACAGAAAGTACTTGGACAGCGCAATAAAGTAGAAGCCTTAAAGACTGAAGGATATGTAACCATCTATTCATCACTTTGCCATTCAGAACTCCTTAAGACATATTTTCTTTGGGATTCAATGTGGTAACTAACAACACAGTAATTTAGTCAGAGACCTTGAGACTGAAAAATTACAGCGGAGAAGAATTTCTAGTAAAAATGACACATCACATGCGCGCACTCACACACACACACACACACACACACACACGTGGGCACACCCAAAGGTCAAAACAAACAAATACACTTAAAAAGAACAAAGAACATTGGAGATAAATGAAATTTATTGTTTAATTTGATTTCCTCTAAGATAATATGTTTGCTAAGGATGTGAATACAAGCAATGTGGAAAAAATAAAATACATGAAGGGAAAGCAGTGCCAACCTCATCTATTACAAATAGGAAAGATGTTTCAAGACAAAGTTCTTTTATTTTGCTTTCCCACTAAGGATTCTTGGCATCTTCTGCTCAGTTTTCTCAGGACATTGCTGCAGAGTCTCAGATACTGCTGGTTCTCCCTCCTTCCATGTCCTTATCCCTGCTTGCGCTTATCTGAATATATAAGCCTGCCCTTTGCTCAGATTTATGGGTCCAGTCAGGGCTGTGTGTATTTACAGTGTTCTGACCTGAAGACCCCGGGCTGAAGGAGAAGAGGAGGAAACTGGGACCCATTCCATAAACAGAGACAAATATGAGGGGGAGGTAGAAGGCTTTGCTAGCACTTAACATTTTTAACTATTGGCCAAGCTTAAGAATTGGCGATTAGATTACAGTAAAGGGAAAACGAGAGATGTGAGTGCAGACTCGGAGAGAGTAAACTGTATATCTTCACTCCAGTCTAGTTGCTGGGAGGTTCTGGGTTTGGGGGTGGGGTGGGTTTAAATTTAATGCAGAAGGTCAGAAAGAAAATTGATAAGTCAGTTACAGAGGGAGCTATAAAATGCTTTGAGAAAGCAGAGGGTCTGCAAAGATGAGGATATAAACAACATTTAATAAGTCAGAAAATTTCTCCAACCACACGTTGTACTCCTTGTGTGAAGCAAGGCTAGTTGCATTTTTTAAACTATAATTGGTTGTAGAAGAAAAATCTCCTGCTTTATGCTTAAATGAGAACATGTTGCTATAGATTACCAAACTGCAATCAATTATGAGCTGAAATATTTTCCTTAGGGCCTGGTGGCTCACTTGAAAGAAACTCCATTTTCAGATAAGACAGCTTCATAAATGGGCCACCCATATAGGAAACAACTTGTACCTCTGAGAGGTGCATGAACCCATTGAAATGAAAAGTAGAGAGCAGTTGAATCTTCAGCAGTGCTTTGCACCCCCAAAACTAGATCTCTCTTCCCTGGAGCCTTATCTTTGTACTAAGGCAAAAGATAAAAGCACAACTTCTATTTGGGGCTCTCTCAAATAATCTGCTTGCTGGAAAAAAATTGAGTTCATAGGGGAAAAACTCTGACCTACCAACTAAATCATAAATAATCCAGTCAGAATCGTAAGTGAAGGATACAATATTTACTAGAGAACTCATAAGCAAAGCAACAGGACAACATAGCAGGTAGAACATGATTGCTTTATACTAAAATGGGTATAAAGAAATAATTTGATGATATCCTCCACAAACCAACTTATATTGCAATAGAGCAAAGAACTGCAATGTACATGATTAACAATGTGATTGGAAAATTTGTGAAATATCATCAAATTGCTTATTTTACCCATTTTAATGTAAAGTAATCATGTTCCCATGATGTTATCTCTTAAAGCTAAAATGATCTGCTATGATGATATCATTGGATTAGAATTTTTTGTTTTAACAATACTTTGTAGCTATTTTGTTTAAAATATACTGTGGATAATGTGTCTTTGAATTATTACTAATAATTGCATGATAAAGCATATATGGCTTAACACTGTGTGTGGCACACACAGTGTAAATGCTAAGTTGTTTATTAGTAATATATTATTATTCAAATCGTTTCTCAAGAAGCTAAAAGAAAAATTAATTCCACAACTGAACTTTGAAAAAATTTATAATACTAAATTCACATAAATGCATTTTCTTTTCCACTTATGTGTGCAATTTTATGCTTAAAATCAAACATAAAATTCAGAGTAGTAGAGTTAAAGAAGGCATTTGGTTATTATATCGGTACAGGCTGTCTCTACAACGGTGAACACGAGCGAAAAATGATGAATAGCAAAGAGCTTTCCTAACAAGGTTGCATTTCTAAAGTGAAATGAAATACATAATATTCTAGGAAACTAATTTTTCTATTGGTATCATTTTTGAACTTTCCTCTAAAATAATGAAACTTCTGCTTTGTAAATAATGCATGCTTAGAACAGATACAACTGCATAAAGAGTATTTAGGAGGATTTGGGGGGGCAATTACATTGCAGCTAAAATGCTTCCCTGTGTCAGTTCTGTTCAGATGCATTTGCCAATGAAATTTTTTTCTCTACTATGGTGTGGATCATAGCAACAGTGGGTTCAGATGTAACCATTTCGGAGCAGAGACCTAGCTCAGTGTGCCAGGAAAAAAAAATGCACGCACCACAAAGAACATTGAGATGAATGGCTCTATTTTATGAGCCATAAAAGTTTTATTCATCTTGACACTGAAACAGGTTTAGGCAGTGAGTTGACACGCCTTAAATAAATAAGTGGAATTAATTCTCCAGCCCTTGAAACAATAGCAGCATGCATGTAGCAGGGAGAAATGCCCCATTGTTTCCTGTGGCTGCCTGATATTGATATTATTTGTGTTTTTCTGTGCTGCTTCCTCAGGGGCCTGGTTGATCCACTTCAGATTCATCCCCTGTTTTATTTGAGGTTGAAAAAGGTTCAGGACCTGGTTGTACCACAGCTCCCACCGACAGCTAAGGAACCAGTTTGGCGTCTGGTTTATCTGTTGTTTTACTGCTGACCTTCAAATCAACTTTAACCCCTGACCTCTGGAAACATCTATCATGACAAGAGGCTGTTTAACACAAATGGTGCCCATTTATAAGGGAAGAGACTCAGAAGATTTCCTTTTTATGAAGAATTTAGTTTTTCACCCCTCTTTTCTCAGTCACCACAGGTGAAATCCCTCTTAGCAGCTGGCTTATGAAATAATCTGAAGGGAGGCCTTAATGAGCAGAAAGCACCCTCAGCTGGAGATAAATATATGCAAATGAGATGCACAAACAAAGGAGCCTGGACAGAGAAATATCTGCAATTCCAGCAAAATGCTGCCTGCAGCTCCAAGATGAACAGCTTTGATAAAATGGTAACAAAAAGCACCTTTTTATCCTCCAGCGTGTTTTACATTGCAATAGACCATTGTCATTGCAACCCAGTGGAGCATGCAGAGGTTTTCTGCACTGTTTCAGAAAACTGTTTAAACATTTGTTTTAAGGCATTCATGAAATATAATCAATGGACTGCTTCTTTGTTGTTGTTGTGATTTTTTTTTTCCTGAGTCTGTTTCAGATGTTACTGTAGTTATTTTACCTGTTGGTCTTTTTGTGGTTTAATGTTGCTATCTCACAGAGCTACTTCACATTTTGGTGACTGTTTCTTCCACTGGTTAGAATTATTCTCTTTTTTTTCAATTTCAACGGAGAGAGATTTCAAGTTAATAATTAGTAAGAGTCGGCTTTGAGCAGCACCCAAACAACTAGTTTTAATGATGGCAATCAAGTGTGTAGAGCTAATTCAGAGACAGGCATGTAACATGCTGATTTTAATAAGCTTTAAAAAGGCAATCTCTAACTTTTAAAAGTCTCTTTTCAATTTAATCGTCCTTGGTTCATATGATTCCAAAACAAACAAAACCATTAAAATATGTTTTCAATATGTATTCACAGTGTTATTTGATGATGTTTTAAATTAGCATCATGTTGGTAAAATATTGATTTGATGAACTTTAAAAATGGAAAAGCTGAAATCATCAACCTATTTGAGGGGAAAAAGAACACTATTTGCTAAAAATGAACAAAGCTTCAGTCCAAAGATCTTACCAGAGAACAACTGGACTCATGACACATAAACTGCCACATCTGAGCCTGTCTATTTTGTTTAGGTGACTAATCAAAGCAGCTAAGGTGAGAGAAGAAACATTATGCCCTTCACATGAGGCAAAATAGTATCACTCTAAAAGCTCAGCAATATTTGGTTCTTTCATTTATAACACAATCCTAGCCTTTTGCAGCTGAGATGTATGAGGATCTTTACATTTCCTTTACCTAAATTATTTCATCTTGGTAGCTAGGATCACAGTGGAGACATTTCTTGTGAGTACTGTGTAGCTTTCACATTTTATGTGCATTTCATCAGGCAAATGTCAAATTTACTAATAACAAGAAAATCTCATTTTTAATCATGCCACTCCTGTTGCATGGGATGGGGTGGGGGTTGGAGGGGCAAGCAGAGAGTGGAGAAGGGAGCATAAAAGCATTTAACATTGTGACCAAAGAGAAGAGGGAGAAAAATGCTTATTTGGGCTTTAAAACCACACATGCACAGTTATCTCAACGTCTGTACCAGTGCATCATTAAATTCAGAATTTCAGGAGTTAATAGAGACTTGGTTATATTAGGGGTCCTTTTTCAAGCCCAGGTTTGAAGCAGCATAATTATGTTCAACCACTGTTGTTTGAAAGGGCAAACAGCATCTTAGGCACAGAACAATGAAATTACAGTTGAGATTCAGGTTAGCAAAAGCCGTCTTCTCCGGGCTTTTATGATTCATTATTTCCCATTAAATACAGTATTAGAAGTGTACACTAGATAGCTCATGCTTGCTGCTCTCGGAGCACATTATCTATATTACACAGGTCTGGGGAGCAGAATTAGAAAACTTTGGGGGAATGAGCAATATGTGTTTGCTGATAGAAGTACCATATGGCTCATCTTCTTCAATTGCTTTCATTGCGACTCTGATGCTGGAGAAATTAAAGTTTTATTTGATGTGGCACAGCTTAATGAACTGTCTTCTGTTAGGAAAATTGAATATGTTTCCTGTTATTTGAGCACAGAGCCTCCATGGTTTGGCTGATGAGGGATGCATTATGTATTGTTTATTTAGCATTTTGAAAACAAAAGCAAGATATTGAAGGTAAAATTGATTACTGCTGGATTGCATTATATAATCAAGTTTTCTCTCCTTAAATTTCCCTTTACAATCTTCTTGTAATGTTTTAATATAAGATTGTTCCAGGTTTTTGTTTTTCAAAAGACGCAGAGTTTGATTTTATCAAAATACATTTGTCAGAGAGTTACATGAAAGTCTAAACCCAGAATTGTTATATTTATAAAGTTTGAAGAAAGATGTTTGGGAAAAAAGAAATTAATTTTATTTTTGTGAATCTAACTGCAAAACTTCTAGTAAGCCCCTAATTAGTTTTGACGGGATCTAACCTTATGGCTGCTAGGAAAGAGTTGTCATTTTCTTTTGTTTGAAATAGACCACTTATGAACATGCTGGGAGAGGACCATAAGAGAAGGGAAAAGATGTTTAATGTTTAGAAATACAAACTTCAAAATATAAAGTTTTAATTTTTTGAGTTAGTTGTCAGTGAATGTAAAGCTGGATTTGACCTGTACATTAAAAAGAATGAAGTATATGTTCCATGAATTTAGTCTTTTGTTGAATACACATAATTAAAGAAAACATACAATCAAAAACATACTTACATGTTAGAAAACTAGGGTATCAGTCCATGTGAATGTTCCCCACTCCCTGAAGAATCTGTAAAGAGATACACCTAACATTTGTTTAATTTCTTAATTTTTGTTCTGGATTCGACTTTTTTAAGAAAATAAAATTAAAAATCTGAATAATCTCTAAAAAGACAATGTAAAACAATGTTCTAATTGCTGCACTGTCTTTCTTTCAATTTTCAGTGAGAAATATGCCTCACATGTGCTGATGGCTGAGGCATCCCAATCTGCATGAAGCAAGCAGGATAAAAAATAAAGGGAATCAACATTTATCTGGAATATACGGCCTTGACCACCCCCCACCTCCCTCTCCCTAAAAAGTCATTTGTCTTCTGAGTTCTGAGATGTTTTGAAGATTCTGGCAAATATGGCAGTTATACAAACTTCTTGCACAATCTAAATACTGTCTGTTCAAGAGAGGCTTCCTCTCTTGAAATGTTCATACTCCATAAGTAAAGGGAAAAATAAATCTGGTATTTAACCAAGAATAGTGTTCTTGAAAATGTCTGTGAACAACGTGTTTAAGCACAACTTTGGCCCCAGATAGTCTCGATTCCTTATTCTTCCTCTGATTATTTTTTCCCGTGAGGAATGTTCATGTGTCACATCTTGCTCCTTTTCTTGAAATTAATAAAATAATTTTTTTTAAAAAGAACACCTGACTGGGAGATCCGGTCACATAAACTTCCTTTCAAAACAGTTGAGAAGAAAACATCACATTTTTATGAAACCCATCTCCTGACAGGGGCCTCAGAGGAGGAACACCATTATGCATTGTTATCAGCGTGGTGTAATTTGACTGTTGACAAAGTATCTGTGGCAGTGAGAATGAGCGCAGTTAGGAGTGTGGCGGATTGTAATCAAGAAGATGCTTAGCTGTGCAACACTGCATCTTGAGCAGATTTGAATCAACATTGCCTTAAGGGGACACACACACACACACACACCCCAAAAGAAAAAAAATCCATTAATTTTTAGAGGGAAAATTAGAGTGGCACTTGATGAAGTGAAATTTGACATGCGTTAATTGCTCTGCAGCTCTCCTAATTAAAGATTTTCAAATTCTTTTACTGCTGTCACCGTGATGGCACATTGTCTTGCTGGACAAATACTAAAATTACAAATGAGTTTGATCAGGAAGTTTTGCATACAAAGATCGGACTGTATGCCCTGAACCACTTCCATGAGGTAGACAGCTAGAGAGCAAAGATGACTGTTAGCTTTACCTCCACCCTAGATACAAAAACAAGGCTAATTAAAATAGTTTCATTATGAGACTTAGTGTAAAGGAAGCAGGTCCTGATGCGATTTCCTTAAACAGATGGAAATGTTCCTCTCATACTCATGGCCTCTGCCTCATGAAATATTCCAGGTGGGAAAAAGAGCCTGTGAAGTGCTACATTATGTAGAGATTCTCGTATTTCTACTTATATTCTTCAGAAATTGGAAAGAGGCAGATTTTTCTCAAAGGCCATGTCACATCTTTCCCAGGTCTGAGTCTAAGGCAGTAGGACTCCAGGTTTTCCCTTCTTGTCTGAAAGTAATTATACTGCTATTTGCACCCCAGTTTGTCACCAAATATGATACCATAAAAATTTGAGTTTTCTTTTTTTAAGCCTTCTTGTCGAGTCCTTTAACTTCTCTTAATTCATTAACATATTGAATTTTTTTCAATTTTCCATTTTCTCGCAATAACAATATTAATGCCGAGGTGAAAGCTTGATTGGAGCTAAATTACTTGTTACCTGCTGGCATTTATTTATATGGCATTGAATTATAAAGCTTTGCTATTGTCATGCCTTGGGCGAATTGTTTATGACACCAGTAATAGGAGTAATTGTTATTGTTGAAATTACCTGTCAGCTACCCATAGCAGTGGCCCTTGTCCCACTGACAAATAGTGACAAGGGAGAGGTATCCTCCATGCATCCCCCTGATGGCTTCTCCTCTGATAATAAGAAGTGCAGGGCCTCTGATAATTTGCCTGTCACTGTTGAGTGCAGCTCAGAGAGAGTTGGCCAAATTGTTGTCATTCACTTTGACAAAGACAGCAAAATGCTCCTGTGCAGGAGGAGGATTATCAAAATAAATGAAATCACTTACACCCCCTTTGTTTGTTTGGCTCAAGAATTGCCTGGCTTTGTATGAGGCTGTGAAATCAAGGTCCAGTTCTTATGAGTGTGCTTCTGCTTATTCTACACTGAGGATCCCTGGGAAAGAAAAGCATGTTAGAAGACTTGCTATTCTGCAGTTTGCGTTGGTTAGAAAAATTATACTCAAATATAAAGTCAATAAAATTATAACAAGAACTCTAAACATATGACTAAATGCATTAGTTGAAAACACATGTAAAATTCACACCTTTTCTCTGCTTGCCTCCTTAAATCCCTCTCATTTTTTTGGCCGGTGCAGGCTTTCAGATTCCAAAAGCTTTCAAAAATGCACAAATTTTCCATTTGCAATCAAGTTTTCTGTAAAAGTTGATAATTCTGCATCCCTGTCTCTTCTAGCTTTAAAAGATTATATAGTCAAATTTAAGATTATTATTTCAAGTGGTCAGTTCCTTTCCATAAATTACCTTTTATTTACATACTATCTTCACATGTAAAGAGATAAATGAAACGTAGTTCCAGATATGAAGCATCAATTATCACAGGCTTACAGAGGAAGCAAAATGGCCCTGTTATTTCCAGAGCTCAAATATAAATATTTGCATTTTAAAACTCCTTGGTCGCAGCCTGTGAACCTGTCATAGAGGGAAGAGGGGTGGGGGAGAGGGCAGCAGCAGGGGATGGTGTCCAGAAGTGTCTATGTCTGAAAGAAATGAACTTTAAGCTAATCAAACCTTTCTTCTTGTAAAAGCCAGAATCATTCTCACCTTTCTACAAAAGGCATCATTTCATGCTAGGAAAATTCTTATTTTTAAGGTGCCTGTGAGGATATTCCTCACAGATTTTCTTGACAAATACTTGCTGTTAGAAGAAGTCAAAGAGAAAAGGAAAAAATAACTAGGATAAATGTAAAATATTGGCTCCTTATAGGTTAGTAATCAGTTGTTTATTGGTCTCTACCAGACAAGTAATGACCAACCACAGTGTTAAGTGCCAGCAACGTTGCCTTGGGCCCTTCTCTCCTAACACCTGCCATTATCTGATTAGAGAACCTCCAAGGAAGTCGCTATTGCATAATTTTATGGGTCTTAACAGTGCAGGTTGGCTGGCAGAAAAACTACCTAGGAGGGTTGATAAGGCAACAGTGAAGCATGATGTTATTTACTCTACTTCCACCTTGCTCTCTGAAAGAGCATATGAGTATCTCAGATACTGGTGGGTACAGAAGACACCTAAAATTGCCCTAAATAGGGATTGTGTGAGACAGGCGGGAGGCAGGAGAATGAAAATGATCTGCCCCTTAAAGCTTTCCATGGGCAACGCAATTTGAGGTTATGAGCAAAACTGTTTCAGGCATCTAGACTCTTTCTTAGGTGTTATGTATTTAAAGCAAGTAAATAGGTTTTTACTAGTAATAATGCCACACATATGATAATATGATAGGAATAAAATGTATTTCTCATCCTTAATAATAATATATTCTTCTAAAGCCAACCACTCCATAGTTAACTATGTTGAATGTTCCTGATTAACAAGTGGAAGGCAGTGACATAATTAAGAGGTTATCTGCAGTAATAAAAATGCTCAAACCTGTCTTGGAATGTGATCCCTTCAACAGATAATTTTTAAGAATGTGGCATGTACTTGCTTTCTCTGTCGAGACACACATTAGTGATCCCAGGAGGGGAAATAAACATACATTTTTAAATGAAGATATTTAAAATGTACCCCATATTTCAATGTGTTGAGGTAACCTGGTCTTCTTTATGTTCTTCCTATGAAACCTAAATTAAGCCTCTTAGGAGTGGTTTTGTTGCAGGTTTCATCTAAAAACACAATACATTTTAAATGGTTCCAGTACTTGAGTGCACTTTAACGTGGAATCACTAATGTGTATCAGTAATGTGTATTCTTCTTTCCTCTTCCAACCACCAGCTTTAAACAACAAAACAAAGAAGCTTCTTTAAAATTCAGCTTCATTTGAAATGTAAACTTTTAACAAATAATAATTGCTCCTGTTAGCCCCATTGATGAAGTGACTGGCAGCAAATCTTTCCTTTCTCTTCGGTTTTTTTTTTTTTCTCTCTGTCTCTCGTGTAACATTTTGAAACACCCGTCAGTGTTAAAGGAAACTGAACACATCCCCTTTGCTGCTCTAAATAAAGCTCAGCAATGTTAAGAAAAATGTCAGAAAAAGCTCAGTGGATTAAAGGAGCATTCCTGCACCATGTCAGGGAGGATGGCAGGGCAAACCGGGCTGCATAATTCTCAAAGATTTTTTTTTTTTGTAAAATGCTTTACATGTGAAAGGAGATTTTTATTTGGAAGGATTTGATATTGTATTTGGGTAACATACAACCTTCAGCTGTTCTAAATCTTGTTATTCTTTAATATGCCTTTGGTATATATATTTTTTTAATTAGAGCAATAATACATTCTTCTTTCTCTGGAATGTTTTTTATCCCTGTACAGCATGAAAATACATTTCAGTCTCTTCCATGTATTTCTCTTTTCTTTCTAAAATTCCTGGGATATTCACTAAAGCAGAGAAAATGCTGGGCTTTTTTCCATGCAAATTTATTGAACTAATCAGTTCTTTTCCCCCTTAGATAAAATTTATACATAGCTTTGGAGATTTATAGGCAGTTCATTATATTTTAAAAAAGCATTTACATTGGATTTGTATATTAAAAATAAATGACTGGTATGAGGTTTGAGTTTGTTCCATTCTCTTTTTCTAAAGAATATTTAATAATCACAAAATTGTATGGCTATAAAATATCCCATAGTGTCATAGTTATGTATACTAGATATCACCCCAGAAATTGCAAGATTCATTTACACAGAAACAAGGTAAATCTCAGCTGATTTTAAATATAAACTTTTCCAAAACAGGTTAAAAATGAATTTAGACAAATTCGGCTCTTAACCTTTAAAGATTTCCTGCCTGTTTCTGTATGTCCTTTATTACATTAATTTTTTATTTAAATTACACCATTAACTGGATATGAATTTATCAAGAATACATGTATTGATTTATAAAACAGTACCATTAATTATTATAATAGCTAGATGTAGCTGATATTACAAAGCCATTTAAAGGTTTTTAATATAACTTGGACTTACATAGATAGATAGACATTATGGACAAGACTACAATTTAAACTGGCTACCAGCAGTTAATGAAATCCTTGATTTATATTCTAGTTTAGAGATTGATTATATTGTTGCTTTGTAAAACTATTTAGATTATGCCATTTTTCAAAGGATGTCTCAATAAAAAAAGCTAAATAAAATATTTAGTCAATTCCCAAAGCAGATTTTGTTTTCTATATTTTAAGTGCTAGTGAAAATAACTGATTGTGTGTGTTCCAAGCTTTGTCATTTCCATTCCTGAGGTGGCTTTCCTGATGGGAGCCTCTTTGGCATATGCACACTTTCCATACACTTTTGATCCTTGCAAAAACAAACCCCTTCTCTTTACTTCATTATCTCCTCCCTCCCCAACAGACCCATGTATATTTCACAAAACCCACACATCAGGACACATAAGTCTTTTTGGCATCTTTTATGTTATGCATTTTTTTTCTTAAGGTTGTGGAAAACTGGGACTTACCCCAAAGCCGCAAAGCAGGCAATCACGGAGAGTATTTGGGTAAGAATGCAATCTGAAGAGCAAAAAAGAAAAACAGGAAGCATATAAGCAAGTAACAGTAACACTTTCAAATTACTTTTCAAATGGTAATTAGCCAGCAACTAGATTGAAAGTTAAATTCTTTTCACATTGAACTTGGTTTGGGTCTCCTTGTCTATTTATATCACTTTTCCTTGCTTGGCAACATATGTTACCGATTTATTATAGTATTTTTACTGTGAGCAGACAAATCTAAAGGCTAGCTGAGAAGGCTAGCTTCATCTGATGACTTTAACAACTACTGCAGGGCATCCTTGAGGGTTAGCCAATAGGCTTTTTTGAAGCTATAATACTTTTAACCATTTTGATGCCGAAATATTTCTTAGAGTTGGTTCAGCCTTTTTGTAGGTATCTCAGCTTTTACATATACAAAAGTTTAATATAAATGAATTGTTTTGTAAATATTTCAACAGTCTTCCAAGGACTTTCATCTGTGTGTCTCAAGCCCCCTAAAAGCCATGGGAATGCACCAGTTTCTTTTTTCCCCTGCTTCTATAGGACACTGTATAGCACATGTTTATAAGCAAACAGCTACCAAGCGTCAAGTTAACTTGCCACCTCACCTTCCTCCTCCCATGCCATTAATTCTTTTCTCTGCTATTAAAAGAAACAAATATCTTCTGGCATTTAAATGATCACATTTCTCTGATACATGTACACTCCGGGAAAGTAAAGTTCAATCGAGAGTCTTCTTAGCTAAGAACCTGAAATTACTTTCCAAATTAGAGATGCCGTCTATTAAGATCATTTTAATAGATATGTGACATTAGCTAAGGGCTTATTATCCCTTTTAATATGTCCAGATGGAATTGTGTGCTTGAGAATTGTATTTGTTGATTAAAAATACCTATCTAAAGTTACCAAATAACAAACTTCTATTTTTTTATCATTTGTAATTTACCTCAATGCAAATTATCCTGTTGTTTTAATTTTAAATTTCTATAAATTTTTTTTCTCCATTTAAATGTCTATGTGCTCTTCACTGACAATTTCAGGAAGATTTTGTGGAATTTCCTTTGAACATTCTTGAATGGAAAATTTAGACATTAAATCTCAAATATTAGAAGTCGATATTTCTTGTCTAAAGAGCCTCACTAAGCAACTAAAATTAAACATAATTTTGATATTCGAATTCAATCAATAAAAAAACAAATATTCATAGCAATCTTGGGGGTCTGACTGTAGAAGTGAGTTCTGAGGCCTGAAATGCCCTGGGTACTCCTGAGATCCAGAACACACTAAGACGTATTATCTGTCCAAACATATCTAACACAGGTTTCACAGGCAAATCAACAAGCCATAGCTCTCCAACACTGAAAACACAGTTGTACCTGGTTTTAGGATATTTATGTGCAAAATTTGACTTCATAAAAATAACTACCATCTGTGTAGTCTAATTCTAATTTTTATTAAAAGTCTCAGAAAAAAAGTCTCAGATCTTCATTTATACTCTAATATACTTCCCACAATCTTACAGTAGAAGTAACTATAGTAGCCCCATTCATTCCTTCAAAAGAATAATGATAATGAGAAGTAAATTTTGCATTCATTTTTACAGGCTTATCTTAGTTTAATTTAGTCTAGTAATTAGTCTAATTATTTAAACGAGCTTATTGTTTATATCTATTAACAGTTATCTATATATGTTTCTAGTTTTGTCCTCAAGAACTATCATATAAAAACTAATATCACACAAAAACTAATTTTAGGTTAAAAGTAATTATGATCAAAAGGATTTCAGCTTCAGAGAATGAGGTCAATTTTTTGAAGGCATAAATATACTATAATTCCAAAAAGGGTCACATATAAGGTTACAAATACCCAACTGACTCAGTGTTAGTTCTGTCACTCTATGAATGAATCCATCATAAATGAACTGATTAGGATAAATTAGTTTAAAAATACTAATCTTTTTAGAAAAATGAGTGGAGACAATGTTGGAGACCCCAGAATTTCTCTTTATCAGAGAAGTATATTTGTGATCCAAAATTGACTCTTCAGCTGCATTCAATCCCCATATTTAGCAGCCTGCTAATTGTGCATGTGGGCTCCTAGCTCTTTCAAAACAGCACTGGATTCTGGCTGGCACCTCCCTCCCATACTTATGACATTCATATTCATTCCCTCTCTCTGTCTCTTCCTAAAACAGGTGTCTTTTTAAGGCGCGAGCCTAAGTTTCCCTTGACTTCCTGGCTCCAGTTCCATCATAATCATTTTCTAATGTATCTACAGCCCCCTTCCAGTGACCACTCAGAGCCTCAGCTGGCTCTCTTGCTATCCCCACTGCTCCTCACCTTTGCCCCAACCCCCATGTCCACCCCCTGCTTTCTGTTTTGTCCATCACCTTGGTTTCTCCCCCACCCTTTTTGACCTGCACTTTTTCTGGCTCAGACACAGGCAGGTTGGGATATAATGAGAACCAGATGGACATAGTGCAGAAATTGCCCAAATGGGTATGAGAATGTGGGGAGCTGTCAGGCATGGAGAGAAGCTGGAATTTTTCAGCAATAAAATGGGATTTATCGCCACTCTACCACAGTCATTGCCGACAACCGTTTACCTTGACAGAAACCCCATTCCAATAGGCCACGCCGATGCAGATTCTTTTTTCCCAAAGAGTGATGATTGGTATTTGTTCTAAGGCTCAGATGGCCTGCACTAAAGGTGAAGCATTAGGCCAAAGTCCTGTATTCCCCACTGAGGCAAATGAACCTGCTAAAATAAGTTCCTTCCACAATGGCTGTGTAATTGAAACCAGAGAGTGAGAGAATTTGATAAATTGCTTGACCCTGAAGGAATGTTAAGGTCATAAATTTTCATTGCATTTTTTCTCTCTTTTTTATTTTTATATATTGATTATATTTAGTATTTGCCTCAAAATTCAACAAGCTTACAGATCATCGGTTGTGGCCCCAGGGGAAAGCACGGTAAATCATCAATTAAGGGGGCAGGAGGTACCCTGTCTTGTAGAAAAGGATGTCAGATTCTTGGTATTCCAAGGACAGTCATGGAGTTGTCTTACACCTCAGAATTATTCCAACTTAGCACGTAATTTGTCCTGGCATGGACAAAGTAAAAGCTACTGAAGGGATTTTTCTCAGAAGGGTGCAGCTCTGCTTCTATCATTTAAGAATGATGAGCTGTTACGAGGCTGCCATCCATTTGCGGCAATCACACCCATCTACCTTCTCCCCTATAACCTAAAAAGAACAATTGCATTTTAGCTACAAAGGTGATCCTCATTCCAAGGTAAATTGAAAGTGTGCCTATGTGTGCGCAAGTGAACACATACACTTCTGAATGCTGGGTACGGCAAGTCTGTTTCAAAATTATTCAATTGTTTTTTGATATCCGAATTGCCTTAACATGAAAATAAAGCATGTCATAAAAACGGGGTAAGCCATATATTATATAATGTAAAATAGACTAAAATATGAAAGTTATCACATAATAGAAAATTTTTACACATCTTAGGGCAAGAGTTTGCTTGTTTTTCTAAAAAATGAATGAACTAAGATTATCAGCATATTAATTTGGCTGTATTCTCTTCCAGTCTTCTGCAATGATACATTCTGATGACATACACTCTCTCAACCTAAAACAGGTTAAGTGATTGGTTGATAGGCAAAACTCCTTGTCTTTGAAAAATTTAAAGAACAACATATCTTCTGTATACATGTGTGCTTGATTTATTGGGCCAATTAAACAAAATCAGAGGTAATTTGACCACTGACGTATCACTTTTATGTTCAGAATTTTCAGAATTTGAGAGACCCAAAGTGGGATATAGGTTAGAAATTCTGATTGGCCAAGAAGATAGTTTCACTAATTGAAGAAAGATCCCTTCTGATTTATTTTCAATTACTAATTACCAGCATAAAGGTTGAAACCAATATGAACTCTAGGATGCAGACGTATTAAATAAGCATGTAAATTTTTCCTCATAAGCAGCTGAATTTTGTATGAAAAGGATACAGTTTATGTTGCATTCCACAAAATATGATCAGTAGGAGTGAAGCTAAATAACTTGTAGTTCTATGTTCCACTTTCTTTTGTTCAGAAGAAAGTTAATGACCAAGGTTTACTAAGAGTATTTATATCTCAAAAAATTGTTTGCAAGTGAGAGTATGAAAGAGAGTCCATAAAAGTAATAAATCCCAAATCCTTGTTATTCTAAAATACAAAAGCAGGGAACTTTTGGGTGAAAGTAAGTAGTACTGAGGCTGTCAAAAATCTTGGAATCTGGCACTGAAGTAAAAAGAAAGATGGTAACCATCATATGTTATTGCTTATATGTTTATAAATACTCTCATAAGAATTCAACCATAATATATCTTCCTCATATAGAGGGGAGATCATGATACACATATGATCTGTCTTTAATCTAGGAGTTTCCCCACTGTTAAAAATGTGGTTTCATTCCTCTGGACTTCAAACTTTTGTTGCAAGGCTGTTTCAAACAAACAAAAAATAAATATATGCATATGTATGTATGTATACATATATAAGAATAAATAAAATATGAACAGAAAATGGATTCAATCACTAATATTTTTGCAAACTAATGTTCAGCTGATGCAACTCAATTTTATTTTGCATCACATTAGTGTCATAATGATAATGACTAGCCTTTATTCACTAACAGTTTGAGTCAGCAATTTAAGACATTTTCAAATTAGGTCATACTGCACATTTGTGGCTGATACAAAGGTTGATTAAGAGAGCTGCACAATTGTAAAGTGATGTGGTGTGAGTTGAATTAAGTTTTCTCTGATAGTTACGGGAAATGTGAGTCACTATAACTAAGCAGAAATAATGTATGAGCTATGGGGAAAGAAGGGGGAGAATATATTTCCACAGAGTGCTTGGAGTAATACTCATTTACAATTTAACAAAGTCTTCTGTCTGTTAGGGAAAAATTCTATCTTGAAGCTTGGAAAGAGGAAGGAAATACAAATAAAACTCTAGACACCTGGTCCCCAGTTCTGTTTCCAGGCAAGTCAGTTCTGTCTTTATGTCCCTTTTGATCTTCTCAATAAAGACCTTTTTTTCCTTCTAGACACTGTCTACAGCTTTTCTGAAGCCAAAATGATCCCATGTCACAACCAAACCTTTTACCCATAATGTAACAATTCTGAAGTTAAATCGCTATGCAAGCTAGACTGGAAGGGAGAAAAAAGTCTATCCAAGGTGATATTGTCATGGCAAATCTACAAGCTCATCTAACACTCAAAGGCAAAGGATTTTCTTTAATTCAGCCAG